CTCCCTCCTTTTTCCTCCCTCCTTTTTCCTCCCTCCTTTTTCCTCCCTCCTTTTTCCTCCCTCCTTTTTCCTCCCTCCTGAAAAAGTTGTATCATAGATATACAATGCCAGGGAGGAGGAAGAGGAGGATAGCTGGAGGTGAAACAGGCTGGCTGAGCAGGGACTGCACAAAGAGGAGCTCTGGGCAGCAAGGGCAAGGGGTGTTTTTGTTGTTGAAGGTGACTGAGGGATTAGGTGGGGAGAGAGAGAGAAGCTTGAGACTTGATTATTCAGTGCTCATCCTTGGCTATTGATAACTTCAGCACTGACATTTCTTTATATTATTTTTATCCTGAGGGTGGCAGCTTTTATTGAAAGTGAGGGGGCTTCTTGAAGCTTTCGTTTCAAACTTAAAAAAGAAAAAAATAGTTTGGATGACAGTCTTAGAAAATGGAAAATAACTTTCCCTCTTACATATATGCGCATAACTACATAATTTTTGTGTAAACCCTGATCAAAAAAAGCCATGACACACGGGCCCAGGTTAATTTTGGGGGGTTATTGACTTATTTTGTTATTGGCTTGTTTTTCTATGGCTTATTTTTTGTTCTTGTCTGTAGGGATCTTGCTGCCAGAAACTGCCTTGTAGGAGAGAACCACTTGGTGAAGGTGGCAGATTTTGGCCTGAGCAGGCTCATGACGGGTGACACGTACACTGCCCACGCCGGAGCAAAATTCCCCATCAAGTGGACTGCCCCGGAAAGCCTGGCCTACAACAAGTTCTCCATTAAATCCGACGTCTGGGGTGAGCATCTGCATGTGTGCATTAGTCCAGGCCTGGGAAAGAAGGACTTTTGTGAGGCATTTTGGGAGAGCGTGGTTCCTGGTTTGGACCGCGCTGCAGGCTTGTCCGAGGCTGGAAATTAAACTCAGCTAAGTCAGTCTGGAGTGGAAAGCTGAGGATGTTGAGCTTTTTAAATAGACTGGGAGGCTCCATATGCGTAACTGCAGACCAGACTGTATACGTGTGATCGCTGGCAAGTATGAAAATAAAGCACGTTGTCGTGTTTATAGAAATGTATGAAATGGGGCCGGAGGGCACCAATACTGACTTGATAGGGTTCTGGCACAGAGCTGGGAAGCAATACACTGTTATACAGCCAGTAACTTTCTAACTGCTTTCAGGAGGAAAGTGAGGATCTGGTTCATTTTATGCTTTAAAAAAATTATGTATATCTGTCTAGTGATAGCTCCAAGCTCGTCTTTCTGCATTTTAAAAGAATAATCTTTAGAATGAGATGAGCAGAAGCAGCGAGAAAAGTTGATGACAAATGGTTATTGAAGAGCCCTGAGGTGCTGGTGATAAGGCTGGGCTTAGCTAAGTGGAGCTAAATTCTATCGAATCTGACCACAAAAAATGTCTCGTTCTTTTTTTATCAGCCTTTCTTTGGCTTTATATCTCTGTCATAGCTGCTGGTCACATTTTCAAAAGTGCCCAGTGGCAGAAGATAGAGGTTCATGGGACTTGGTCCCAAAGGCCCTTGGAAAATGTTATCCTGATGCTCTTCTGTGTAGAAAACATGGGACGCAAGTGAAGCAGCAATGAAGCTTTTGGGGGAGTTTCTGGGAAAAATAGACAGAAAGGGGTTTAGTTGGAGGAATTGCTAGGAGGGTGATAGAAATAAGGAGGGTCATGGGGAAGGAAGACCCAAATCAGCTCGCTGAGGGGCACGTTATGATCGCTGACCAAAGTGTTTATTTTTATGCTTTCTGCTGGCGTGTGATGGTGCTGGAGACTGAGGAGCACCCTCAGGGTCCCCCAGGGTTCTGCCGTAGTCCCATGGTGGCTGCAGGGATCCCTGTTTGAGCAGTAAAGCACTTAAGGAGACAAGGTCAAGAAGGAAGACTGGATGTCTTTAGGGTTAGCCCGATCTCGCTCACCTGGAGCTGGGGCAGGAGCCTTAGGGATGGGATGGGATGGGAGCGATTGGGCTGTCCCCGGGAGCCTCTGCTGCTGCTAGTGCCAGAGTTTAGATGCTTTCACCTCGCTGCCTCAAGACAGAAATCAAACGCTCGTGCATAGAAATGTCTAATATAAATCGCCCTTGGTGGTGTCACCATGTAATGCGATGTGATTTCCTTACTTAGGCAGAGTTGTAATCGCTTTCTCTTCAGGTTAGGAGCAGAATACGGTGACTGAACTAATTATTGCAGATTGTTGAGCTGGCGCCAGGTCTTGTCTGTGAGCCCAACTCGGTTGTCCGGCCTCGGGGTTGAGCTGTGACCAGTCAAGCTTGGGGGTCCGAACCCCCAACTGGCATCAAGGACCTTTCTGAATTGCCCCCTGCGCCTTCTATAGGGCTTTCCCCCTCTCAGAACATCTCACCCCGTCCTTGCCTTGTTCCAGCCACTCATGGTCCTGGGTGTCCCCTCTAGATCACGCTGCAGCTTAAAGAGGACACCCCAAAAACGCTGCAGCAGGCGAGACGTCAGGGGAGAGGCTGGAGATGAGAGAGGAGCTGTCAACTTGACAGGGAGACCGCAGTGCAGCGGGGAAACAGTTCCAGCTAATCCACTGTGAAGTCTCTTAATTGTGCCTTTAATAGGACTTGAAGGATCTTGGGGCGTTCAGGTTTGAGACAACTGATACATTGAAAATTAGTCTAATTCTACCCTGTCATATCGCAGGAGACTCGCGTGTGCTGACGAAGAGGCTCGTTACGCTGCTTTAACATTTAAGCTGCTGTTGAGCCTGGGATCGGAGCCACCTAGAGCTGGTTTAAGTGCTCAGCCCTGTTTACTGACTGTTCCCACTAAACATCCTCGCAAAATTAAGGTGAAACCAAAGCTTATTGATTTCTTTGCTGCAGCCTTCGGCGTGCTGCTGTGGGAAATCGCGACATACGGCATGTCCCCGTACCCGGGCATCGACCTGTCGCAGGTCTACGAGCTGCTGGAGAAAGACTACCGCATGGAGCGCCCCGAAGGATGTCCCGAGAAAGTCTACGAGCTCATGAGAGCGTGTAAGTGTGGTCCAGCCCTGTAAATGCTGCTTTGAGCCCTGCAGAGATGCAATAAAAGTGCTTGGATCGGGTTCCTGCAGCAAGGCACAAGGAACCCTCTGCAGTTCCACCCAGCATCGCATCTTCCCTGGAAGTGCTCGGTTAAAACCACCTTGCTGGGAGGATGAAACCGCTGTGGAACCAGCTCCTCTTTCTAGGGGAGGGCATAGGCCTGTGGGAGAGATTTGGTTTTCAGCTCGGTGTTTTCCTTTATGACAAATTAAAGAAGAGCTTATGCTCGAAGGATGGAGGAGGAGCTTCATTAGGCTGCTTAAGGGATTGAGGATTGCTCTTCCACTGCAGCCCTTTAATATGTGACTTACAGTGTGATTGTTTTTTTTCCTTCCCAGAGGTGCTCAGCACCTACAGTTACCTCGGCTCAGTGGTGGTTGTAGATACCCGGCACCCTTCAGATCGGGTTTCTGTGTTGCTGTTTTATCCCACCCATTTTATAAAAAGGGGACAGTGGTAGCTCGTTCCTCCTGGTGTAGCCAACTGGACGCCTGTAAGGCTGCCTGGAGGCTTTGAGCGTTCCTGGTTTTCTTTCAGGCTGGCAGTGGAGCCCTTCAGACAGGCCCTCGTTTGCTGAGATCCACCAGGCCTTTGAAACGATGTTTCAGGAATCCAGCATATCGGATGGTAGGTCTGGTTCCTGCTTTGCCAATTATGGGAGTGGGACAAGGAATTCCTGCACTCTATCCTCTGCAGCTCCTTTTAGGCAGGAGCTATCTACTTCCCAGGCCACTTTTCAGTGAAACTCACTTCATTATACCACATTTTATTACGTGGTATAAACTGTGCAGATTGCAGACAGAAGCATTTACATGTGGCCTTTTCCTGCATATACATATACCTGATTTTAAAGGGCTGAAAGCCTTCAGGAACCTGTGTGCTATTTGCTTTTCTTTTGCGCTATTAACTTGGAGCAACTCAATAGTTTTTAGTCTAATAGTCTAATTCTTTTTTTTTTTTTTTTTTCTGTACACTGGAGAGGTGGAGGAGGAATGGGGAAAGAAGTGCACTAGGAGTGTAGTGAGTAACTTTCTGCAAGCCCCGGAGTTACCAACCAAGACACGAACATCAAGGAGAGCTGCTGAAAGCAAAGATGCCAATGAGAGCTTGGAGATCACCCATGCTCGTGGCCAGGGGGAATGTGGTAAGTTTTCTTTAAAGTCATTATTCCTTCAGGAGATACAGAGGAAAAGAAAATATATGGCCAGCTGTAGGTCATCACCTAGAAAAGGCTGTGGCTAATGACAGGTGACTTTCTGGATAAGTATTCTGTTTGCAGGCAACAAATTGCTGAGTTTGCTTTCCTGGCTTGAAAACTCTTTTTATCTTTTCTTTTTCTTTTCCCTCTCTTTTTTTCTCTTTTCTTTTCTCTCTTTTTCCTTTTTTTTTCCTCTTTTTTTCCTCTTTTTTTTCCTCTCTTTCCCCCGCCCCCAGAAAGATAGGTTGTTAATCTTGGGACCAGATGGGAACCAAGAGCAGCCAGGAGTGCAAGTCCTTAGCTGCCTGCAACATTGATGCTATATGTCCCATTGCTTAGAAGAGCCCTAGAAGTTCTTTAAACTTAATGGCTGTTGCCTGCAGTTCCCTGTAGACCCGAGCCTGAGCACAGAGCTTGCTGATCGTATTCCCTTCCCTGGTAGGGGATCAGTGGGATCTCCCACGGCAGCTGAGCACTGCGTAATCTGCTGTGTTCAGGCTTCTTTACAGCACCACGCTGCATAATTTAAAGCAGGACGATTGCTCGGGTTTAGCAAGCCCCAGAAGGGAGGGTTTCTTTCTTCACTGTGCCGTCATACGAGGTTTGTGCTTGCAGCACTGAGGAGCATCACTTTTTTTCAGGTACCAAATACAATTACAGCAAGGGACACAGAGGTTTTTACAGGATCCCCTGTGAAATTCAAGTCTGAAACAATTTCTTAAAGCACTTGGCTTTCATTAGCTCAGAATGAAAGGCAGGGCTGAACAGTGAATTCAGAGGGTATGTTTGTATCCAATTCATTTGAAAAATCACAGTATAAAACAAAATACAATTTTGCAGGCTTGCTTCCAGCTCCTGTTAAAGGTGCCTTCGTTGGCCACTCGTTACTGCTGTCTTCTGCGTAGTGGCAAAGCCACTTAGTACTGTGTATTTCAGAAGCAAAAGTGCTGCTGGACAGAAATGGCAAAAAAAGGCAGAAATATAAAGTGCTGGAAAAAGAAAGTATTAGTATGGGTGACTTAGAAAGGAGCGTTATGTATAGAAGGGTTTGGAAACTTGCTGATTTATAAACAGCAACTTAATTTTCTAATGGAAATGCAGCAAGGTTTGTATTCCTGAGGAAAAAGTCAGGAAAAATGAGCATGGTCTGCCTGTATTTATTTGTTATAACCCAATTAATACAGCACAGCTAAAGACCAGTAGTAAATCTGGCCTGCCATATATAGGAAATGTAATTGCCTAGTATTATGAGCTTTGAAGTAAAATAACTTCATTTGAAATACTTAGGGGCTTTGTGAAATTCAAGTGCATAGGAATAATATGATTTTAACATTACGCCGAGAATTATCTCACTCTTTATTACCAAAGGAAATATCTCCCATTAGAGTTTTATTACAGTTTCCCCTTTAATTGTCAGTGTTTCCATAGCAAGTCCTATGGCTGGAAGCAGATCCTCCGTGAAAGCTGTGGGTTTTCTCTGCATCTCCATAGCTCTGCTCTTTCTAGACTCGTTAAAGGCCATGGCCCAAGTGCTCTGGGAGCTCTTTTGTTGTGCCCCTCGACTTTAGTTGACATGTATGAACAGTTTGAACACAGAATCGTGTCCCAAAGTACCCAACTAGTTCTCCTCGAGGTGCCCCTCCTCAAGCGGAGTCCCCCACTTAACGTGACATTCCCTGGTACGTGACTAAGAAGCGACCTGCTTTCCCTCTCTGACTGCTCCATCTCTCTCCTTACTGCCTACTCGAGCTGTAAATGTATATGCTGCCCTGGAGGCATTCCTCTCTTGAATTAGAGAGCCATCTGAGTGCCTGACCTGGGAATGAGACCTCCTGTCAGTCAAATCCAGGGACCTTCAGGACTCGGTATGAATTTATTATAAACCTCTATTCATTTTTAAATACGGCTTGTAAGTGGAGAAGGGGTCACCCCACTTCTCCTTGTGGAGCCGACGGAGGCAGTTCCTCCCTTTCCTCCCTTACACGAGGCTGGCTTTCTTCGCAGTGAAGCCACCAGGAGTGCTCAGCTGTCACAGGGGGGTCTTGATTGCTGCTTGTGAGAAAGTTATTTCCATTCCCTGCCAGGATGACATCAGTAAAGGAGGTTTTGAGCCTCAGAATCTAAATGAGCAAGAAGCCAGGGGATGGAGGTGGGTTACAGAGAAGCCTTATTAACTGGGGAGGTTCAGCTCTTCCAGAGACAGAAACGGCACAAGGATTAAAGAAAAGGCCTCTTAATATTTATCTGCTTCATGCTGTCAAGTTTAGATAAGTGTCTGTGTGTGTTGGTGGAAAAACATAAACATTTGTCTTTGTACATTGCTGTCTAAATCAGAAACCGAGCGGGAGAGTAGGCTGCAACCAGGTCCTGTATGGGCCACTTAAGAAAGGAATGAAAGCGAGATGAAATGTTCAGTGCAGGCTTCAGTGCCCCCTGCGCTTGCTTTGCTCCTGGTCTGAAGTTGCCTCTGTGTTTACAGCACCTGCACCTCTTTGGTGATGCTGCAGTGGTTTGGTGCTGGAGGAAACCAGATTGTTCTGTCTCTTGAGGCGAAGCTCAGTAGATGCTTTTCTGTTTCCTTGCAGACCCTCTGGACCATGAACCTGCCATTTCTCCCTTGCTTCCGCGGAAGGAAAGGGTGGCCATGGAAAGCAATTTGAATGAAGATGAGAGGTTGCTTCCGAAAGATAAAAAACCCAACCTCTTCAGTGCCCTTATCAAGAAGAAGAAGAAGACGGCCCCAACTCCCCCCAAAAGGAGCAGTTCCTTCAGAGAGATGGACGGCCACGCGGACCGCAAGGCCGGAGGGGACGAGGAGGGCAGGGACGCTGGCAACGGGGCTCTCATTGCGCCTCCCACAGACGCAACCGACCCCTCCAAATTTCAGAGCCCGAGCAACGGGGCTGGCGTCACCAACGGGGTCGTCGCCGGCAACTCTGGGTTTTTATCTCCACATTTACGCAAGAAATCCAGCACGATGAGCAGCAGCCGCGGAGCGGCCGGCGACGAGGAGAGTGGTTCCAACGCGAGCAAGCGTTTCTTGCGCTCCTGCTCGGCCTCCTGCGTGCCCCACGGGGCGAAGGACACTGAGTGGAAGTCCGTGACGCTGCCTCGGGATCTGCAGTCCACGGGGCGCCAGTTTGACTCCTCCACCTTCGGCGGGCACAAAAGCGAGAAGCCAGCGCTGCCTCGGAAGCGGGCGAACGAGGCCAAGACTGATGCTGCCCTCCGGGGAACGGTGACCCCCCCTCCCCGGCTGCTGAAGAAGAATGAAGAGGCCACTGATGAGGTGTTCAAAGATGCAGAGTCCAGTCCCGGCTCCAGCCCTCCCACTCTGACACCGAAACTTGGCCGTAGGCAGCCAGCCGGCCCTCCTTCCTCCAGTGTGCTCCACAAGGATGATGGAGTCAAATCCAGTGCCTTAGGTACCGCTGTGACGATGGACCAAGGTTCTGCTGCCAAACCCAACGCTGCTGGGTTTGCAGGTGCCAACAAGGCTTCTGCCGAGGAGCCGCGGATGAGGAGGCTCAAGCAGAGCTCGGAGTCAGCGGGGAAGGACAAGGGGAAGTTATCGAAGCTGAAACCAGCCCCTCCGCTTCCCCTCTCGTCGTCCTCCATTGGCAAGCCCGGAAAAGTCTCCCACAGTCCCAGCCACGAAGCAGCGGCGGATGTGGGGACCGGCCTGAAACCCAAACAGTTGACTCAGGTTGCAGACGCTGCGAGCAGTGACGCCGTCAAGCCAAACCAGCCGGGGGAAGGCGGGAAAAAGCTGGGGATCCCCTCGGTACCAAAGCCCCAGGCCTCTACCAAGCTCCTGCTGAGCACAGCAGCCCCGACTGCCACCTCCTCATCCGTCCCCTCTGCCCCAAGTGGGGATCAGCCATCATCCACGGCCTTCATCCCTCTCATATCCACGAGGGTCTCGCTGCGGAAGACCCGGCAGCCCCCGGAAAGGATTGCCAGCGGCACCATCACTAAAGGGGTGGTCCTGGAGAGCACCGAGGCTCTGCGCGTCGCCATCAGCAAGAACTCGGAGCAGATGGCGAGCCACAGCGCCGTGCTGGAGGCGGGCAAGAACCTCTACACCTTCTGCGTGAGCTACGTGGACTCCATTCAGCAGATGAGGAACAAGTTTGCCTTCCGTGAGGCCATCAATAAGCTGGAGAACAACCTGCGGGAGCTTCAGATCTGCCCCGCCACGGCCGGCAGCGGCCCTGCAGCCACCCAGGACTTTAGCAAACTTCTCAGTTCTGTGAAAGAAATCAGTGACATTGTTCAGAGGTAGCAGAAGCCGGGTGGAAAACAACAACAGCAAAAAAAAAAAAAAAAAAAAAGAATCACAATGGGCCAAAGCCGAGTGCGGAGAGAATAACAGCATGCGTGGACTGACGAAGGACTGGGACCTTTGGGTTGGGGATGTGCGAAAGACACGGACTGTTAATGGATGCCCCAGCTCCAAAGAGCAGGGCTGTGTTCAAGAGGCCCTTCCCAGCCTCTTAACCCAGGCTCCCTGTGACTCATTTACTCAGAATCGTCTTTATCTGTGGAGTTCTTGCCTTGTGGACTACAAGTCTAAATGCTGATGTCACGCCATGCCTTCTTATTAATATTTTATTGTTCCCGACAGGCCATTAAGACTGAAGCGAGACTGGTGGACACTGAGATGCTGTCCTTCTCTGGGGGACTTCCTACTGCGTTTTCATTCCCTCTCTGCCCCACTGTGCACAAGGATGTGTGTTTCAATAGCAATATACCCAGCGCTTTCCTTGGGGCATTTGCAGCACATAAGCCTGGCCTGCGTTGGACATTGACTTGACCTTAATGCAACTGAGCTTGGGAGGTGGGGAGGGGCGGTGGGGAGGGGATTTTTAGTGTAACTTTTGAATGCCAGAACACTACAACTGATGTTTACTCAAATTCTTCCTGTGATTCCACTTGCTGCCCTCCGTAGCTGTGTTTTCAGCAGTTCCATAGTGGTGTGGGTCCCTGACGAGTTGCTCGGGGCTCGCAGCTTGGCAGACAGCACCCACTGATGCAGTGACACCACAGCCTGTTTGTGGGTCTCTCTTGGTAGCGGTAATGGCCAGGAGAGGTCCAAAGAGGAAAGATGCTGCTGTCATTCCGTGTGGGATCGAGTATTGCCTGGGCTGGAGGGCTGCAGAGCGCGTCCGGGAGCAGTTAGACTGGTGCTGAGCCAGGAATGAGGGGCAGAAAAGTTGCAACAGGGGAAGATAATTTAGGATGAGCTCAAACCTCTGCTGTGCCTCGAGCAGCCGTTTCAGCTGCGCTTGCACTTCATGGATGGGCAAGAGCAGCCGTTTGTCTGCTTGAATTTCCAGCCAGCTTCTCTTCTACGAGCTCCAGAGGAGCAATGAGCAGAGAGGTAAGAGCTGCATCCGAGCTGCCTTTGGCTCTGCAGCAGCATCCCGCGACACCCCCTTTCTGTGCCAATGCTACACCCCATTGAAGAGCTCCAACTGCCAGTACTTGGAGGGCGAACCCAGCAGCGCCTGGTGCCACCCAGCAGCAAACAAGGATCTGTGAAGACCGAGGGGGCTTCTCTGGGTGCCTCTCCAAGGGCACTGCCGCAAAACGCCGGCCGCAGGGCGCCCGCCCGGGCTGCCTTTCCTGCAGCCTTCCCAACTAACACAGCACAACTGGGAACTAACTGTGACTCGCCGTAATAGCGAAAGGACAAGGTTTAGGGCTATTAACAGTGCAATTTAACTCCTCTTAACAGTTCCAAACAAGAGAAGAGAAAACATTTTTTCAATGTCCTGTGCTCCCTGTAACTCTCGTGACCCCTCTTGTATCTTAAACACTAATTGCCTTCAATTGTATTGTATTATTTGCTCTCTGGAACTGTTTGTTTTTGTATATGATTTACAGTAGTTCACTTTTTTTTGTGTGCTCACGCCACTTTTCCCCTCACCAACAGCCGTGACTTAACACATGACAGATGTCTAAAAGAAAATACACACTTCTGCCACAGGCTGCCTTTAAAAATGTAAGAAAAAAATATTCCTTGGACTGTCTCTTTCCTTGGAGGTACTGTTTTTACTTTGATAACATATTGTGCCACTATATTATACATTTGTATCTTGTTATTACACACTTTTTTAGACTTGTCTTTTATACAGTGTGTAAATAGCTCTGTCCTTCAGCTCTGTGATACTTAAGGGGGTTGTTTCCCCTTTATTTTGGTCCAGTACAGATTGTTTCTGTACATGACTTTCAATTCTTCCTCCTCTTTCTCTGTGTTTTTCTTCTCCTTTTTTTTTCTTTTTTTGATTTTTTTTTTATTCCAGTCTCTCCTGTGTAGCATATTTAAAAATAAATCAATGTTGAGGAAAACTTGTGTCTGTCTGTTAACAAGGCTTTGCAAAGCCCGTTACATCTCCCCGGGCGCTGCGATCCAAAAGAGGCATTCCCTGTTCCAGCGGATCCCGGGGCCTCCCGGGACCGCGGGCAGCTCGCAAACACGCGACACCAAATTGCACGATGCTTTTGACCTAGCTTTGAAAACTCCAGAAAGCAAAGAAATAACCCCAAAAAAAGGCCTGTGTTGTCACCTGCTTTGACGCAAAGACCTTGTTGTCCCGACTGAGGTTTAAATCATGGATTTAACGTTAAGCTTTCCTTCTAAACGCTGCTATTAATTCATTTTATGTTCTCTGTTTCAGCTGCTTGGGTTTTTTTCCCTTCTCTGCTGTGAAATGACCTGTGAGCTTCTCTCCTCGTGGCTGCTCCCTCCCGGCTCCCTCGCAGCGCGGCGGGGACGCGATGCTGACAAGCCGTGTGGCCGCCGTGCCCTCGCTTTGCAGCTTTTCTATCCAAAAAAAAAATGAGGTAATGTCTCCAGAAGTCTGTCTTTAGTTGCTGTTTTCATACTAACATGGGCCTTCCCAGCAAATCTTAATGGAGGGGACAGCAGTGGGATACTTCGTACTGGTGTAAAGCGATCTAAAATGAGGTAGGTTCTGCCTTGAATAATAAAAATGCTAAACAGTAAAAACGGAGATAAAGCAACAGCAGATCAAAGCAAGAGCAGTGGCCTCAGGTCACATAGTCGCTTGGTGACAAGCGAGGTTAGGACCCAGGTCACCTCATCTGTCATCTGCTCCTCAAGTCCCTGGTGGGACACCCAGTTTTGGTGCAGGGAGGAGATTCCTCATGGAGCAGCAGAAGGAGGCTCCTCCGAAGGCTCCTCCGAAGGCTCCTCATGCTGTGGCTGCGATTGCATCGCGCTGCTTCGCAATTAGCATAAGCAGGATGAGAAGAAGAGCACGAGGATGCTGCTGGCAATTATAAATTTAATTAATGGCCTGCGTTTAGCAAGTCCCTGGCCGCTCTACCTAAAGCTGGTGGTGAACGCACGCGCAGCGGCGAAGGGTTGGCGGCTGTTCTGTGACAGTGACCCCTGGCAAAAATCAAAGTCCAGGCTGCTCTTGATTTACATGTCTAGTGCCGAGACTTGAATGTGATTAATGACTGTGGGCTGGGGAAAGATGGAGAAGCTTAAGCTGTCCCTGGATACAGCCGCCCCGCACGGTTTTCCCATCCGCTTCCTTAGGGAATAGTGTCACAGGAAGGCAGAGCTGGGGTGACCCGGCTGGGGAGAGCCCCTGGATCCGCAGTGTTGGAAGGGCAAGAGGGATTAAAGGCTACATTTAGCCAAGTATTGTTGGAGTTGATTTAACAGATCAATGCGTTTAACAGTTTGATTGCTCCAATTTTCAAGGCTATTGAGCTTGAAAGTGAGAGTGCTCTGGGGGAAAAAAATAGCTGTGTTTGTGTTTTCGGTTTGGTTTTTGTGTGCGTGTGTCTTGGAAATTACAACGTTGGCTCTTAAGTTTTCCTTTAATGTCATCCCGCCCCTCAGATGCAGCTTTGCTGAGAAGTCACTTGTCACGAGATGTAAAATGTGGTCGGTGTTTTTTTCACTCTCTTTTCTAAAAAAAAAAAAAGGACAAAGGCAAAAAAGAAAGAAGGAAAGAAAAAAAGGCTGAAAGCAAAGAAAGAAAGAAAAAGGGTGAAACCAAAAAAAGAAAGGGAGAAAAAGGGTGAAACCCCAGGCGGCTGTGTGTGGCACAGCACTGCCAGCCTTGCGGGAGCGCTTCCCCGCGCCAGGGAATGAGCTGCCATGAAGTGACAGCCTGTTCCCTGCTTTGACACTAATCCCACTGGGATGGAGGGGAGCAGGGAGCGCCCTGAGCTCCCTGTCCCCTTTGGAGAGGCCTGGGAGGAACCGCAAAGCGGGCGGCTGCCCCCGGTCCCTCCTGCCATGCGGGGAGCCCGACCCGCGCTGGTGGCTGTGCCGCCTGCTTCACCCTGTCCCGGGGCTCTTTGTCCTTCCTTTGAAGGAAGTTTGGTTCCTTAGAAATGGAGCCGTGTCCCAGGAGCGGGATGGGGGCTCCTTTGGCTGGTGTCCTGGAGCGGATGGCTCTGCCACGTGCCCTGGCCCTGCCCCGGCCAAGGTGACAGTGGCTCTTCTCCGTGGTGGCCAGTGACAGGGCAAGGGGTAGTGGGTACGAGCTGAAGCACAGGAGGTTCCATCTGCATGTGAGGGAGAACTTCTTTGTGGTGAGGGTGCCCGAGCCCTGGCACAGGCTGTGCAGGGAGGCTGTGGAGGCTCCTTCTCTGGAGATCTTCCAAACCTGGGTGTCCCGCGCTCTGGGTGTCCCTGCAGGAGCAGGAGGTTGGACTAGATGGTTTCCAGAGGTCCCTTCCAACCTCAACCATTCTATGTAATGGGTGTAATGGGGCCAGAGCTGGCGGCTGAGGTAGAGGTGTCGTCCCCATAGCAGGGACTTGGGTGCTGCAGCCGCACGATGGGACCCCAGGCCCTGTGTGCACCGGGCTCTGCACTGGGGATGCAGCCCCGCGCTCCAGGCAGCTCCCCTGCCTTCCCTTGACCTCCCTTCCCTCCCGGCTCCAGCCTCCACGCTCGGGACCCCCACAACAATTGGGGCCACTCTCCTCCGACACAGCCGCTTCCACTGTTCCCGGCTCCGGGATATGTGGATAGGGCCGCAGAGCTGTGGATTTCCTGCTCCCGCTCGCCTCCCTCTGCTCCGCGGCTCCCTCCCCTCGCCGCTCATGCTGGAATTGACCGCTGCGTATTTATTGATGATGCGAATGCTCCAAGGAAAGGGAGGAAAAAGGAATGTTGCCATAGAAACATCGATAGAAATCCCCAGCCCCGCTCGCTGCGCCTGCGTCCCCCCCATCCCGCTGCCACGACGTTGGGATTAGCCGAGGACGCGGGTGGGAATGGCTCCAGGCTGGTCCCTTGGAAAGGCTCCCGGTGCCGCGGGGTGGGTTTATGTGGAGAGGTCCCTGCTGGCTGCACGTCCTCCCCCGCGCCAGCTCTGCGTCTGCCCGGGCCAAAACGGGCTCCTGGTTTTGCTGCTGCCACTCCGGAGTCCATCCTGGCCGCCAGGAATCCCTCCCGGCGCCGTTATCCCGGGATCCTGCTCCAGGGCCGTCCCTGCTGCTGGAGACCCGTGGGAGCCGCTCGCTCGCGGCAGCGCTCGCGCTGCCCGGCTCGGGTATCGCCCCACACCTCCCACATCCTCATTTGGACTTATTTCTTTTCCTCCAGCCAAGTCTGGACACGGTCTTTGACTCTGAGGGTGCAATTTAGCGCTGGTGAATGATTGCCCTGCTTCATTTTTGTGCCTGCAATGAAATATTAGCAGTCATTAGGTGTCCGGCTTGCCCGTAGTGCCTGCAAGCCACGTAGTTAGACCTCTGCTTGCTGACGTCTCTGCCTGCAGTGGCAGGTGCCAGAGCAAACAGAGCGGTGGGCACTGGCAGAATTAACCTGCAAAGAGAAGGGGAAGTTGCCAGAGAGCAGGGGCTGCTCCTCACAGTATGTGCTGGAGCTTGGGGCTCGCTCCTTTGGGGCGGATCTGCACCTTGGCCAGCAGCGGAGGCGCCTGCAGAGGAGCTGGGCACCAAGCAGCGTACGAGGGCTGCGACTGCCGCCTCCCTGCTCCCAAGCTGCGAGCTCCCCAAGCTTGGGAGCTCCAAGCTGCGAGTAGGGTTGGCTGTGTAGGCTGTGCCAGGTGCTTTTTGAGACTCCCACATCCCGCGATTGTGCCGCCTGGGTACACGGGGCAAGCAGAGCAAGCATAGCGACCCCCCTCCCATGACCCCCCCCAATCCCTCCCCTTGGTCCAAGCCGAGCGCGGCGAGGCCGGTGGCGACGCCGCAGCCGGGCGCTCACCTGCCGAAGCGGAAGGTGAATCCTCCCTTGCTGCGGTGGAGGCCGCTGAGCTCCTCGGCCAGGAGGCCCAGGGCGCCGCCGCGCTTGTCGTCGCCGGCGCTGGCCGC